CCTAAGACGCGACTTGAAGGTTATTTTTGGAATGACTTCATTTGCGAATATTTCTGCTTGTTTACAATGCTAGAAGCCCTTTCGCAAGTGGTCAGAAAGGCTTATGACCTTTGAAATATCGCTTAGTTGACCCCTCGACCCTGTTTGTCTGTCAAAGCTCTAAATCCTCTTTAAGCAAAGATTTCCGTAGGCACGATCATTCAAAAATAGGAAAAAGCTTACAAGGTGCTGGGTTAGTATTTCCTGGGCCCGATGTAAATAAAGGGTCGGGTCACAGTGTCTGAAAAAGCTAAAAAACCGTCTACGCGCGCCACACACGCGTGCACACACAAAAAAGAAGTTGCTCGGGTTCCGACTGAGTGGGAGTACCGTAGACGTCCCGACAACTTGTGCGCTAATTATTTTATAACATTAGTAGAATTTCGAAGAATCTATCGCACACTTATTTCCCCCTCCCCCCTAGAACCGGTGCCTCAAGGAGACTGGAGAAGAAAGCAGACGCAAGCAGTTGGTGCAATGTAAACCCGCGCCTTGACTCCCCACCCCGCCCTATGGTCTATGCAAACAGGATCAGAATGTTCCACGAGGAGAAGGAGGAGGAGGAGGGACGGTGTGGATCCCAAATGGGCGAGAGTGCCCTAACATGTATAGTAAGAAGGAGCTATTGTGGCCTCATTCTCAGTCCTGAGGGAAGGACCGAGTAATCCCGAAAGTTGGTAGCCTTTCAAGTCACGGTTTTAGCGTTCTACGATGGATTCAACCGCGAGACAGGTTGTTTACAATGAGGGAAGTGCGCTGAGAGACGTGGGACGCAGTCGACCTCACTCCCTCTTCCCTCATTCAGGCGCCAGTTCATTGGTCGAGCCAGTCAGCAAGGATTCGGCGTAGGTGGTTGGGACGGCATGAGCCTGCGTCTCAGCGTGCCACCACATCCATCTGATGCACTAGTCCGGCCCTTTTGATGATCAGACGTATTTAACACTTGACTTTTTAAAAGTCCACATGCCTTCATGCACTACCTTACCGCCAAACGTAATTGAACCACGAGCAGCTGGCGTCAGGTGCTTTGGCAGCGACTTTCATTTGGCACAGAAGGAAGAAGCTCGTAGGAACTTCGGCCATTTATTTGCACATTTTAGGTAGTACCGAGAAACTGCAGGTCGAGGAAATTTGCGCCTTGAATGACCTAATGTGTTTCTTTGATTAAATTTGCACGACTACGACGAGGTCTACCGAGTGCTCCGCAGCAGAGTGGCACGGCGCTGGTGACTTGCGCATGAATTAGATAATAGGGACAGTAGGCTTGCGATGCATCTATCGCACTCGCTCATCCTCCTCCACCTAGGCAAGACAGAGTCAAGAAGACCGCAGATGGACTCGGGGGCAGGTAATACGCACATAATATCATAGGCTGCCGTGTCCTGGTTGGTTAGGGATCAAACGCAGGTGGCTGGTGTGGCGTGAGCCTGCACCTGCGCATGCCACCACTACTTAGTTC